CAGGGGCGGATCCAGCAATTTTTGAAAGGGGGTTTCCAGGGTTGTGTCCCACTACCCCCCCCCCCCCCCCAACTCAAAAAAATTTCACACATACCTATTGAACGATCTTATGTTGTGGTAAATAGTATCTTTGTTTACATCCTTTTTTTCTGTGAAAAGGTACCCCGAGTCAGAAAAAAACAGACATTAATGAAGCCTTATAAAATTAAATGTATCTGCAGAATTTCCGAATTTGACTAAACAGAATTTTCTTTCCGATTAAAAAAAAAAAATTGGGTAATATGCGGATGGGGTTTAAAACAAAGAGTTTTATGTAAGTTCCTTCGAAGATATGTTTAAAAAGGGCACATATATATAGCCAACACCGCCAAAGATTGCCTGAATATCATATCAAATTAAACCTCGCATGTTACCATATGTGTTTCTTTCGAACAAAAAAGAAATAATAGAAATTAAGGACAGATGATACAAACAAAAAATGGATGCCAAGATTGGTTGATATTTAATGACCTAATTTCATTGTCAATTATGCAAAAAATAAATTTCTAGAATATAAAGAAATTTTAAACATTCTGTGGTCTTCAAAAGTCTGCCCTTCTGAAAGTATCCTTATTAATCTATACAAATATGTTTCACTTCAATTTCCATTTTTATGCATGCTTGAATAAAAAATATAAAAACTTCGTGTTTAAAGTTATTCATTTTATTTATTTAAACATGATCCAAATTGTTATTTTCAAATTCTTTGACAAAAGTTTGTTTGTATCATCTGTCCTTAAGATATAAAACATGTTATGATATAAAACATGCAAAACCAGAACTTAGAACCTCGCAGCAGGATAAACGATGAACTAAGTTCAGGAAAGGAAGTTATGAAATGCAATGGCTAATTTTTTATGTTGTAAGCATAAAATGAAATTCGTTTGGTGGCACCTTTTATTTGATATAATCCAGTTATATATTGTTATATAACTGTGAAAATCAACTAGAAGAAATTGATTAGATAAATTAATTGTTAAGATTATTCTACAATGTATCAATCCTTGAAAATTCTGCTTTTAAAAATTTTATTAATTGAACGAGCTTTATTACCTTTACTTTTACTAATCGTTAGACCATAATTGTACTTTTGAATAAGTGACATTTTTTCATGTTATTTCCCGATCCTAGTAAGAAGCACACAACGGGTATGCAGGGGATGCTCACTCATCCATGGCACCTGATCCTATCTCTGATGTTTTGGAGGCCCGTGTTTGCTCTGCTCCTTCTAGTATTTTGTATTATTTTATTGACGTTTTAGCTGCAAAATTGTTCGGTATCTCCATTTATTTAATTATACGTTTCTTAATCTACGCCAAATTGACTGTGTAATGCACCCAATCAAAAAAATACCTTCCAAAAACAAAGACTATGCACCTTATATATCAAACAAAAATAGAATGACACAGTAGATCGATACCGTAGTGAACCATTTAAATTCTGTGTTATTTATTTTTAATAAATCGGGGATATTTAAAAAGACGACTTCTTTGTTATACAGGAACTATCGTGATTAATAAACAAAGCGTTTAACTACAATTTAGAGCTATCCCACTCCTACATGTGCATATTGTACAATTCAGTAAATGGAAGGAATAATTATGATTTTGATAATGCTAAAATAATAGTTTTTAAATTAATCTTTTAATCACATTTTTCAAAATTGATAAGAGTAATTTAAGAAGACGATCTGATTGATATTCAGGGCATTTTTCTGATCAACAATCTTATCATTACAATCAATAACCCTAGGACTTCTACATATCATTACTAATATAATGAGTACGATAAAGATAATCTGTTCAAATTACAATAGATATGGATTTTTTCTAATTCACTGTCTAATTTATTGAAAATGTCCACTTTTTTTGTAAATCATTGCCTGATTGTTTTGAATGTAATTCAAATAATTATTTGATTGAGTATAAAATAAGGGGGATATCCAGAATTGTTTATTTCGAATGAATTGGATCTTTGTTGACAAAGTAAAAAAGTAAACTGCTTCAAAATTGAAAAATATTTTGTGTGAGTAAAGTGGGAGTGAAAATGTTGGAGGGTAATTAATGGGTTCGGCTTAATCACTTTGCGTCTTAAAGTATGTTTGACTATTCAATGTAATAAAAAGGGAGTATACGCCCGCTTCCTCTAATTAAGATCTGTGGATAAAAATATCTATATAAATTGGCGACATTTTTCTGTTGTATTCACTATAGGCATAACGGCCCTCGAGTTCCATAACAATATTCATAAATTGAACTATATAATCTAATCATTTTTTTTTCATATAAGCGTCTATACTTAACTTCCATTTTAATAAAGAAAATTCCTAAACAGTGAAAACCACTCTCTCAATAATGTCGAAAACAAGAAAATTAAAATGAAAAAAAGGAAAAATTCATTTACCAACTGTCTAAGATTCCTGTAACTTCCAAAACATTAATTTTCTTTCCAAGGTGATTTTGAAAACACGTCCTTTAACAGTAACTTTGTACGCTTAAAATACCCGACTTGTTATTTTGAACGTCACCCTTATCAATTCGTTTTGGTCCAAAAGTTTGTCAAAGATAATTGTCTACTGGTCTGGCTTACTTCAGACGTAATGGTGCAATACATTTAAGAGGGAGTCTATGAGAAAACCATGCAGAGAGCTATTCATGTTAGGTTCTCAATTTCACTTCCCATTATTATATTTATTCATTTCAATGTATTGTAAGACTTTTCTGTAAATTTGGTCAAAATCTGCTGATCAGCATAGTGTACATGAGCACTATCTATGTTTGTCATTGGCAAATGGCCATAATGTTATAAAACACATGAAAAATACCAGTTACCTTTACAGCTTTACTTTAATACAAACAAATTTCTGGGAAAAGATATGATGTATTTTATACACATATAAACAGTGTTAATCATTTCCATTATAAAACTTTTCAATTTGTTAAACTTTTAGCGGGAGACAACTCCAATTATCTCAAGATGTTCTAAAAATAGATTTTTCTTGCCTTAATTCTAAGAGCCATAAAACCTGATACACAGTAAAGAGAGAAAATTTTTTTTATGCCCCCGTAATCGAAGTATTCAATGTAGATAGTTTTTGCCCTGTTCGTCCGTCTGTCTAGATTTACCACAAATAACTTTGACCTTGCCCATAACTTTTGATTTAGTGGAGCTATGACTTTCATATTTCATATGTGTATTTCTTGTGACAAGACCTTTCCTTGGGTACCACCAGATTTGACCTTTTGACCTTGACCTTAGAGTTTGACCTACTTTTACATGAAAATTTTAAAATTTTACTTTGGCCATATCTTTTGAACAGTAGACACCAGGGCATTTATACTTCACATAGGTAATGTCTGTTAAAAGACTTTTCACTGGATACCAACAACCTTGACCCTTTGAGCTTGACCTTGTAGATTTTCATACTTGTGAAAAAACTTTAACCTTGACCATAACTTTTGAACGGTAAGGGATAGGGCTTTCATACTTCATATATGTAATCCTTGTGAGAAGCCCCTTTATTGGATATGAAGATCCTTGACCCTTTGACCTTGACCTTTGAGCTTGACCTACTTTAAAAAAGCAAACCTTGACCATTACTTTTAAAGAGTAAGGGCTAGTGCTTTCATACTTTACATATTTGATTCTTATGACAAGAATTTCCTTTGATAACAATAACTTTGACCCTTTGACCTTGACCTTTGAATTTGGCCTACTTTTAAAGAAAATTTTTAAACTTTTACTTTGGCCATATCTTTTGAACTGTAAACACCAGGACTTTTATACTTCACATATGAAATGTTTGTTAAAAGACCTTTCAATGGATACAAACAACCTTGACCCTTTGACCTTGACCTTGTAGATTTTCTTACTTGTGAAAAACTTTAACCTTGGCCATAACTTTTGAACAGTAAGAGATAGGGCTTTTATACTTCATATATGTAATCCTTGTGAAAAGACCCTTCATTGGATATGAAGATCCTTGACCCTTTGACCTTGACCTCTGAGATTGACCTACTTTAAAAAAGCAAACTTGACCATAACTTTTAAAGACTTAGGGCTAGTTCCCTTCATACTTTACATATTTGATTCTTTTGACAAGACCTTTCATTTGATAACAATTACTTTGATGCTTTGACCTTGACCTTGGCGTTTGACCTACTTTCTAAGAAATTAAACGTTAACCATAACTTCTGAACGGTTAGGGCTTTGGCTTTCATGCTCTACATAATATTTTATGTGGCAAGACCTTTCATTTGATACTAATTACATTGACCTTTTGACCTTGACCTTGGAGATTTGTGTACTTATTAAAAACCTTTAACATTAGCTTACTTTCAAATTTCACAATTGTTTTTCAGTGAGAATACCCTACTTTTGGTACCAATTAATTAAATTTGTATTTAATAAAAGCTTAATCTTTGCTATGTTGCCATACGGGGGCATCAGTGTTTTACAAACACATCTTGTTTGTTCCTTGAAAGTTCATTAAATAGTGTTTTTACCACAAATTGGAATTTTTCGGATTATAAAATATAACAAAGTTATGATGAAAACAAACTTTTACCAATTTTTAAATCAACAAGGCCAATTCCAGCCCATATTAGACCTAGTTCTTTAATGTTTCAAATCTAAATATTTATTACATATTTTGTAAAATGAACATAATAATCTACACGTACTACAATAAATATAAATTTTTCCTCAATTACAACATTCTGAAAAGATTACACTAATATACCATTCTTACAATTATTTTTAAACCTCAAAGGGTTTGGAGGGAGTTAACTTCACTAATATTTTTAAAGATGATTCAATAAAACTAAGATGTGTTTGTGAAACACTATACGCCCTTTGGCAACAAAGTTATGAAAAGTTATTTTTAATATATAGGTCAAAGTCAAGGTCACAAGGTCAAAAGTTATGGCAAAGGTTAAAGTAGACAACAGAATAACAGATAATCAGACAAACAGATAAACAGACAAATAGGACAAGACAATATACCGGCACGACCCTTATCTATGCATCCAGGTGCATATAAAGTATTCCATTACAATATAATGTACACATCTGTATTTAAATATACTTTGAATATCAAATATCTTCAGTAAGTATAGTTGAAGGAGAGTATGAGGATTGATAAAGTAATGAGCTCCACAGATATGTATGTTTGGAACTTTGGAAGACATCGGGTTGAAATGTACTTATAAGACCACATTTAATAATTTTAAACTTCTAATAATCCTTTGAAGCATAAGGTCACAATTGCTAAAAAATTAAAACAGGAATTGATGCAATTTTCATACCATTTTAATGTGAATGGATTTACTTAACCACAATGGAATAAATTCAAGTACAGGTAATATTATATGCAATATAACTGTAAATCTATAAAACTGTATTGGAAGTTTTATAGAAAAAGAAACAAAAAAACATTCAAAATTCTACATTAACATTCTGAAAAATTATTTTACCCCAGTACATGTACCATGTTTGAGAACAAATAAAAAAAAATTCCGAAAAGATGTACTTTCATTCTATAATGTTCTATTGAAAAATACACTACAGTATATCAATGAAATAACATCTCAACAAGATGATATAGTTTGTTGAAACCCTCGAAGTTGATCAATTCCCACTTTAATAAATTCAATGAATTAAATGTAATTATATGAGGGATACACATCTGAGTACAGGTATTATTTATATAAACAATATAAGTAAAACTACGGTACAAAAATATTGAACTTAATGAGTTTCAGTTACAGCCATTTATTCTGTAAGTTCATTGGCTATTGCTTGGACACTGTCAAACTGTTCTGCTGCCTGAAGTTTCTTCAGCAGGATAAGAATTGTTGTTAACATCTAAAAATGTAGAAAATTCTTCTCATGATGTATTTAAACTTTATATAAAATTATTAGCAATCACAAAAAGAGAGGCCTATGGGCCACATTGCTCACCCTTTTGGCCATGAACTTTAGCCATGATGCTGTTCTTAACCAGATCTCCCCCATTGCAAATTTATATTGTGCACCCCCACCCTACCCCCCTCAGGGGTCATGAATTGTAAAATTTATAATCTAATTTACTACACATGACAGACAAATTTTAATAGAAAAATGTCACCTGAAAAACTCCGGCGACTTAAAGATACAAGATTTTTTTTCTTATTAATGATTTTCCATAGTCTGAAAGTTTAATGAAACCATTCATAAACATCATACCGTTGACTTCAGTGCAATCTCTAAGATTAAGTGGAGGTATTGAGGCAATGGTTGAATAGGTCAGCTGCTCAACTCTGTCTAAGTAAAAAGAAAATATATGGAAATAACATACAGTATCAAGTTCAAAAAATACAAATCTAGTGCAGGGCAAATATGGACCTGTATGTAATAAGGGACAAATCCAATATCAATAAGTGTCTTGTTTGGCGTGCATAATTTGGTCAATTTACCAACTCCAACTAACAAAAAAAAAAACAAAAGAAAAACAAGAGGCTCACGGCCCACATCGTTACCCGAATGGCTTTGACCATTCTGTTCTTTACCAGATTTCCCCCTTGTAATACATAATGGTACCCCCCTAACCCACTGATCATAATTGGACTAATTAGACTAATTACACTAACCCAGGATGATTTCAAACAAGTTTCATCTTTTCTGGCCCAGTGGTTCTTGAGAAGAAGATTTTTAAAGATTTTTCCTTTATATTTCTATGTTAAACTTTGATTCCCCATTGTGGCTCCGCCTAACCCCCTGGGGTCATGATTTGAACAATTTAGCTCTTCCTACTGTCTGACTGAGGTAAGAATTTGGAAGAATTAATCCAGAACTATGTGCAACATTTTGTATGCAATGAATATCCATTTTTTTTCAATGGGTGGCACAATAGTAGATAGAATCTTCTATCGTTAAAATGATAAATGTCCTACGGACCCGGTTTAACGATAGAATTTGTTTCGTGTATTCGTAATGTAGCAAAAGAAACACGGGTGATAACTCGTAATCAGTGCATTTACCACTGTTTACTATGAACAATCTAGAGAGTTCCGATTGTAAACATGGCAGAAAAATGTTCACAAAATTTATAGGATTTTTGCCTTTATATGGATTATTTTTGGGGATAAAAGGCATAATTATATGCAATCTCAAAAAGGTTTGTTTTGATTAATTTAGTAGTTATTTCCTGTGCAAATCCTTTTATATTCTTCAAAATCATTTCAGAGTGGATCCGCTCCGATTTGCTACAATGCAAGTATATGGGACGAATTCGAACTGTGGTGAGGGCGTGTTCCAAAACACAGTTATATTATTGTAACTAGCACAATAGCTCTCCGGGATTGTCATAAATATGTATTTTTTCGGAGAGTTATAGATCTGCTGCAGCTAAACCTATTGTTATGTCATTTTGTTGCCATAAACTTTTAACTACATAAGTAGCAAGTTTGGGAATCATATATATTCAAGACTTGTTTAGGAAAAAAATCAAGTTTAAGTATAATAATTCAAGGATATTATTTCATAACTTGGTCAGTTTGACAAATTTCTTATTACCTTTATCTATTGGGACTGATAGCTGTAGACGCAACCAAAATTCCCGGCTCAAAACTGGTGTGATGCCTCAGTCTGGTTTCGTTTTAGATAAACCATGAAAGGGATGTACACAAGATCTCTTGCTCCGTTTCCAGTACGGACCAAGCGCGCATCTGATTCTTGTTTAGCTGTGCTAATGTGATTACATCGATACCCGCTCTGGATAGAATTAAATAACTTTCGGGCAGATCTATACCCTTAGAGTTAAGAGTCCAAATATTTGAGATGGTAAAAGGTTTGTTTAACACAGCCGTACAAATAATATATCGCCGTTTCTTCACAATCTTCACCAAAATCACACATACCCGACGACATCGCTGCCATTTTCCCTCCATGTAAATAATGACTTTTTTACTCTTCATGCACTGAAGAGTTCGAAAAGATCGATAATTCGGTAAAAAAATAAAGAGATTCAAAAGTGTATATCTCGAGATTCATTGTAAATCCAAGAAATTCCTTGAAATATGTTGTGTAAAATAACTAATTAAATCAGATAGATAATTATAAACAAAAGTTCACCCGTTGTATCAAACACAGCACTGCGTTTCTCATAGAGATATAAAAAGTCAAGTGAATTTTCTCTTATAAAACCTTTTGAATTTCCCAAATTAATAAGATCTGGTAAACAAAATTCAACTATAAACAAAAAGTTATACTTATTAATTCAACATAAAACACAAAATTTTTCGAAATCATTGATTCATTTTATTTTTTTGAAGGGCTTATAAAAGTGCTATTTTTCCTTGAAAATCCAGCCCACCAGTGGGCTATAAATAGATTCGGGGCTATCTCGATTAGGAGGACACCTTTGTTAAAAAAATTTTCACAATAGTTATATATGTCCATTCTCTTCAAAATTATGTATTTAAAATCATCTTTTTAAAATGTGACTTGTGTAACAAATTTTTAATTTTGCATGATTTTCTCGTAGACACGCTCTTAATGAATATCAGAGGAAGTACATGTATGTGTGTCAACGAAGTTTATTAAAAGAACTTAATTATACACTTATATCACTGCAAGGAAAACACTATGTTTTTTAATTAATTTACGACAAGGGAATATCTTTTTTGACCACATTATCGTTCAGGATATTTTTTCACTCTGTTTTACATTCCACAATTTGCTACTAAATTATTTGATAGATAAGGCACTGTACAGGTGGAGAGTGAAATGCTTATTAAAAAAGTTCCAATAATTTCTATTATTGTTCATAAATAGTAAAAATATTTAAAATCAATGTCACATATGAAGATTTGATTGTTGAATCCTGGTAAGAAGCACACAATGGCTATGACCGGTCAGTAGGGGATGCTCACTTGGCACCTGCTCCTATCTCTGATGTTATGGAGGCCCGTGTTTGCTTTGCTCCTATTTTGTCTTATTGTATTGACTTTTTAGCTGGAATACTGTTCGTTATCTCCATTTATTTAATTAGACTGAGTAATGTGTTTCTTAATCTACGCCGAAATGACTGTGAGATGCACCCAATCATAAAATTTCCTTCCATAACCACGACTATGCACCTTATATATATATTAAAAAAATACATTGACACAATAGATCGATACCACAGTGAACCGTTCAAACTCTGTGTTATTCATTTTCAATAAACCGGGGATATTTAAAAAGACGACTTCTTTATTATACAGGAAATATCGTGATTAATAAACAAAGCTTTTAACTACAATTTAGAGCTATCCCAGTCCTACATGTGCATATTGTACAAATCAGTTAATGGAAGGAAAAATGATGATTTTGATAATGCTAAAATAATAGTTTCTAAATTTATTTTATTATCACATTTTTCAAAATTTATAGGAGTAATTTCAGAAGACGATCTGGTTGATATTCAGGGCATTTTTCTGATCAACAATGTAATTATTACAATCAATAACCGAAGAACTTCTGCATATCATTACTTATGAAATGAATAAGATAATGATAATCTGTTGACATTACAATGTATATGGATTCCTTTCTAGTCCACTTTTCTTTTATTAATCATTGCCTGATTGTTTTGAATATAATTCAAATGAATATCTAATTGAGTATAAAATAAGGCGGATATCCAGAATTGTTTATTTCGAATGAGTTGGATCTTTGTTGACAAAGTAAAAAAGTAAACTGCCTCAAAATTGAAAAAAATATTTTGTGTGAGTAAAGTGGGAGTGGAAATGTTGGAAGGTTTTTAAGTGGGTCAGCTTAGTCACTTTGTTTCTTAAACTTTATGTTTGACTATTCAATGTAAGAAAAGGGAGTATACGTCCTGCTTCCTCTAAGATCTGTGGATGAAAATATCTATATAAATTAGTGACCTTTTTCTGCTGTATTCACTTTAGGCATAACGACCCTCGAGTTCGATGACAATATTCATATTACTATATAATCTAATCATTTTTTTTCATATAGGCACATATACACTTAGCTTCAATTTTAAAAAAAGGAACATTCTGAATAGTAAAAACCACTCTGTCAATATTGTCAAAAACTAGAAAATTGAAATAAAGAAGTAAAAACAATTATAAATTCAATTACCGACTGTCCAAGATTCCTGTAACTCTCAAAACATTAATTTTCTTTCCAAGGTGATTTTAAAGACACGTCATTTAACAGTGATTTTGTACGTTTAAAATACTCGATTTGTTATTTTGAACGTCAGTCCTATCAATTCGTTTCGGTCCAAAAGTTTGTTAAAGGTAATTGTCTACTGGTCTGGCTTACTTCAGACATAATGGTGCAATACATTTAATGAACATCAGAGGACGCCCATGTATGTGTGTCAACGAAGTTTATTAAAAGACCTTATTTATACACTTATACCACTGCAAGGAAAACACTATGTTTTTTCATTTACGAGAAGGGAAAATTTTTTTTGACCACATTATCGTTCAGGATATTTTTTCACACTGTTTTACATTCCACAATTTGTTACTAAATTATTTGATAGGATAGATAAGACACTGTACAGATGGAGAGTCAAGTGCTTATTAAAAAATTCCCAATAATTTCTAAAATTGATCAGAAATAGTAAATATATTTTAAATCAATGTCACATATGGAGATTTGATTGCTGAATCCTGGTAAGAAGCACAGAATGGCTATGACCGGTCAGTAGGGGATGCTCACTTATCCATGGCACCTGCTCCTATCTCTGATGTTATGGAGGCCCGTGTTTGCTCTGCTCCTATTTTGTCTTATTTTATTGACTTTTTAGCTGGAATACTGTTCGTTATCTCCATTTATTTAATTAGACTGAGTAACGTGTTTCTTAATCTACGCCGAAATGACTGACATGCACCCAATCATAAAATTTCCTATACATAACCAAGACTATGCACCTTATATATATATAAAAAATACAATGATACAGTATATCAATACCACAGTGACCCGTTCAAACTCTGTGTTATTCATTTTCAATAAACCGGGGATATTTAAAAAGACGACTTCTTTATTATACAGGAACTATCGTGATTAATAAACAAAGCTTTTAACTACAATTTACAGCTATCCCAGTCCTGCATGTGCATATTGTACAAATCAGTTAATGGAAGGAATAATGATGATTTTGATAATGCTAAAATAATAGTTTCTAAATTTATTTATCACATTTTTCAAAATTAATAGGAGTAATTTCAGAAGACGATCTGGTTGATATTCAGGGCATTTTTCTGATCAACAATGTAATTATTACAATCATTAACCGAAGAACTTCTGCATATCATTACTTATGAAATGAATAAGATAATGATAATCTGTTGACATTACAATGTATATGGATTCTTTTCTAGTCCACTTTTCTTTTATTAATCATTGCCTGATTGTTTTGAATATAATTCAAATAATTATTTAATTGAGTATAAAATAAGGCGGATATCCAGAATTGTTTATTTCGAATGAATTGGATCTTTGTTGACAAAGTAAAAAAGTAAACTGCTTCAAAATTGAAAAAAAAAATATTTTGTGTGAGTAAAGTGGGAGTGGAAATGTTGGAAGGTTTTTAAGGGGGTCAGCTGTTTTACTGTTAAATGTAAGAAAAGGGAGTATACGTCCCGCTTCCTCTAAGATCTGTGGATGAAAATATCTATATAAATTAGTGACCTTTTTCTGTTGTATTCACTATAGTCATAACGGCCCTCGAGTTCCATGACAATATTCATATTACTATATAATCTAATCATTTTTTTTATGTAAGCACATATACACTTAACTTTTATTTTTAAAAAGGAAAATTCTGAATAGTGAAAACCACTCTGGCAATAATGTCGAAAGCAAGAAAATTGAAATAAAAAAGGAAAAACAATTCATAAATTGAATTACCGACTGTCCAAGATTCCTGTAACTCCCAAAACATTAATTTTCTTTCCAAGGTGATTCTAAAGACACACCATGTAATAATGATTTTGTATGTTTAAAATATTCAACTTGTTATTTTGAACGTCAGTCCTATCAATTCGTTTCGGTCCAAAAGTTTGTAAAAGGTATTTATCTACTGGTCTGGCTTACTTCAGACATAATGGTGCAATACATTTAATGAACTTCAGAGGAATTCCATGTATGTGTGTCAACAAATTTTTTTAAAAGAACTTATTTATACACTTATATCACTGCAAGGCTAGGAAAACACTATATTTCCGAAAGAACTATATGCGGTGTATTGCATATGTTTGCCCCCACAAAAGTCATATTTTGAAAACTTCCTGAAATGTGCTGAATTCAATAAATTGTAATATACGTTAACAGAAAATGTTGTAGTTCCAGAGCAGTGTATTTTTACAATTTCTGTTTTGATGACGTCACAAACTAGTCTGATTGTTTATCCTTTTTCAGAAAGAGGACAAAATCGACAAAATTTCAACAATTCAAGCTTTAAAATTTATAGAGCACATGTGTGTTCAGGAACAATATTGACATATTTCTTTGAGATTATCATTCTACACATTGTATCAAAATATATATCCTAAACACACATGCGCTCGGTGACTTTTATTTAAAATATCGACGAAATATGTACATTTTT